GTCGGAGGATGATGCGTTGGATCCGGAGGTTGGTGGGGTGGTACGTGAGGACGAGGGGGATTCTTTTTTGGTTTTTATTGCGTGGATGGGGTGTGAGGGATGAGGTGCGGGAGATGTGGGAGACACGGTTGAGGGCGTTCTCGACCACCGAGGAGGGGAAGTTACGGTCCTTGAAAAACGAGGACAACTGAGATGTACGGGAGTGGAATGCCTCATCCTGGGAGCAGATGCGGCGGAGGCGAAGGAATTGGGAATAGGGGATAGCATTTTTGCAGGAAGGTGGGTGGGAGGAGGAGTATTCTAGGTAGCTGTGGGAGTCGGTGGGCTTGAAATGAATATCGGTTTCGAGGTGGTTGCCCGATATGGAGACATTATCTATCTGTGTCCAGAACTTCCGGGATCTGTGTGTTGCAAAAGATGTGCGCAATTTTTCTATCATTGTCCCAGAGTTTGATGAATGGACCCTATGCATGTCCAACCACTTTAAGTGGATGTCTACAATGACTAAAAACATTGAGCCCATGAAAGAACCTGCATAGTTGACATGCAACCAAGTCCAAGGTTTACCTCGCTATTCCCACAGATGTGGGGGAGCTATTGCTGGTAACTTTTGTCCTTGTTGACACTCTGGGCACTGCCCCACTGATGCAGCTATGTGTGCGGTCAAGCCTGGCCATCAGACATAATGTCTCACCAACATCTTAATTTTGGAGAACGCTGGATGGCCCTGGTGGAGTTCAGCCAGTATTTGAAAGTGACCTTTGCTCAGGGCAATCACTCTCGCTCCCCATAACAATATAGCGTTCTCTAACGTGAGTTGATCTCTCCAGTCCAAAAATGTTTTAATTCTGGTTGTGACAGCCTTTTGGTTTCCCCATTAATACCAGTTGTTTCAGTGTGGAAAGGGCTGGATATTTCTGTATGCAAAGTCTAATATTGTTAGCTCTGACTGGGATCATGTCCAGAAGATTTAATATCATTATAAACTCTTCTACTGGGGGTACCACCAGTGTCTGCTAAAGGGAGATGGCTCAATGTATCCACTCGCTACTCAGCTTCCCGGACAGTGTTCTAACTTATAATTATAAATACTTTTTAATTATAAATCATAAATATTAGACCCCACCACTGAATTTGACCTGAAGCTATGGACGGCACTGCCTTGTCTTCTTTAAGCAGATCAAGTAAGGGTTTGTGGTCAGAGATAGTAGGAACTGCAGATGCTGGAGAATCCGAGACAACAAGGTGCAGGGCTGGATGAACACAGCAGGCCAAGCAGCATCATAGGAGCAGAGAGGCTGACGTTTCGGGCCTAGACCCTTCATCAGAAAAGGGGGAGGGGAAGGGGGTTTTGAAATAAATAGGGAGAGAGTGGGAGGCGGATAGAAGAGGGATAGAGGAGAGGATAGGTGGAGAGGAAACAAACAGGTCGAAGAGGCGGGGATGGGGCCAGGAAAGGTGAGTGTAGGTAGGGAGTTTGTGATTTTCACAAATTTTGTCCGTAAACATATTGGTGGAATTTCCTGACTCAAAATATGATCACTAATCCTTCTTTTTCTATCTGGGTGTTTTTACGCTCTGCATTAGCCAAAGTCCTGAATGCATAATCTATCGGGCATTCCTCTTCATTAGGCCACCTATGAGCCAATACCACCCGAATGCCATACTGAGAGACATTGCACATGAATACCAGATCTTTCTTGGGATCACAGTGTATCAACACCTTAGAGGATGATAGCTGTTTCTTTACTTCATTGAAAGCTGGGGCTTGTCTATGAGACCATTTCCAAGGCTGACCCTTTTTTAGGAGTTGATGCAAAGGTGCCAGGAATAAGGCCAGGTTACGTATGAACTTTCCATGATAATTTACCAGCCCAAAAAATGACCTAAGCTCCTATACAGATGTTGGAGTCAGGCTGCTTTTGATTGCCTTCTCTTTATCTTCCAACGAGTGATCCTGAAGAAGGGTAATACTCGAAACGTTGACTGTGCCTTTCCTCCAGATGCTGCCTGGCCTGCTGTGTTCTTCCGGCCTCCCATTTGTCTCCCTTGGATTTTAGACTCTGCAGTTTTTTTGTCTCTAAATAGATCACTTAGAGGGCCTGGAACACACAATTTTCTCTTCTTAGGCATATACCTGCCTTGGAAAATCGCTTTAGGACTATATCCAAGTTGTCTAAGTGTTCCTTATTAGTTTTCCCTGTTATTAAGAAATCATCTAGGTAAATGGCAACCTGTGGTAGACGTTGCAAAATGTTCTCCATGGTCTGCTGAAAAATTGAGTAGGGTGAATGTACCCCAAATAGGAGTCTCGTATATTGGTACAAGCCCTTTTGGATATTAATTGTAGCATACTTCTGGGAACTCTGGTCTAAACGCAATTGTAAGTAAGCGTGGCTCATGTCAAACTTTGTGAAGTGCAGACCTCCTGCCAGCTTTGCATATAAATTCTCAGTCCAAGGGATTGGATATTTATCCAGCATGAAAAATAGTTTACCAGTCCAGATGAATTGCTCGCAACCAATTTCATCCCATTAAGCTTGGGCCCGAGACTTTTACTACAATCACAGGTAACTGAACCAGCTGCCTTTCAAAAGAAATCTAAACCGAATTTATACTCTGAATCTGCATAGGTTCCCGGTATATGTTCTCAGCCTAGCATCTTGTGCAAATTTGAGAGCTGGAATTCAGAGTGAGCTTTAATGAAAACTGGTTCTGCAATCACTGATACAGACATGCCAGTATCGACCTCCATGCGAACCAGGTGACCATTTAACCAGATGTTCATATTGACTGGTTCTGATTTGGATGTTGCTAAGCAATTTAAATGTTCCAATTCAGTTGTAGTTAGGCGTTCCAGGGTGTGCACTTTCCTGAATACCAGCCCATGAGTTCTTTTACTCAATTCAGGCTAAGTGGTATTCTTTCACTGTCTGAAGTCTGCATACTAGCATCAACTACAGTAGCTTGCCTGCCGGATCCTGGGGAAAAGTTTAATGGTTTGAGAGATAGTAGGGACTGCAGATGCTGGAGAATCTGAGATAACAAGGTGTAGAGCTGGATGAACACAGCAGGCCAAGCAGCATCAGAGGAGCAGAAAGGCTGACGTTTCGGGCCTAGACCCCTCTTCAGAAAATGAGAGTTCAGGATATATCCTTAGTGGGGCTATGCAATTGCCTTCACTCAAGTGGTGTACCTCAAGCTCAGTCAGCTTGGCAAGGGTGTCCAATTATATCAGCATACCCTGTAACTCATGGGCTGCACTGGCTGCATTTCCTAACGACAAAGCCAGTTATAATGTCTGTTTGAAGTCCAGTTGGGCTTCAGCTAGTGGGCACTTTTGCATGGTTACATCTTTAATCCCACATACCAAACGGTTTCTCAGCATCTCATTAAGGGTTAAATCAAAGTCACATGCCTCTGCCAGTCTTAACCCCGTCAAAAATGCTGACATGGATTCCTCTGGTTCTCGAACTGCTGAATAAAACTGATAGTGTCTCAAAATTTGAGAACACTTGGGGACATAATATTCCTTAACTAAATCCCTCAACTCTTGAAAGGTTTTGGTATCTGGTGCCTCAGGAAATGTTGGGCTCCAAATAACTGAAAAACCGCAGGTGCACAAGCTGTCAGCAGTGTGTACTATCTACAAGATGCACTGCTAAAATTCACCAAAGATCCTTAGACAGCACCTTCCAAATGCACAACCATTTCCATCCAGAAGGACAAGGGCAGCAGTTACATGCGAACACCACCACCTGCAAGTACCCCTTGAAGTCACTCACCACCCTGACTTGGAAGTATATCTCCATTCCTTCACTGTCGCTGAGTCAAAATCCTGGAATTCCCTCCCTAAAGGTTTTGTGGGTCAACCCACAGCACATGGACTGCAGCAGTTCAAGATAGCAACTCACCACCACCTTCTCAAGGGCAACTAGGGACAGACAATAAATGCTGGTCAGTCTGTGATAGAGTTAGGGTCAGGGTCATCCACGTCCCATGAGTGAATTGAAAAAACCCATTAACAACAGTTAACTTGCAGACTTTGTTTAAATTTTAAACCAGGCAGGGTGACTTTCATTTGTCAGGGCATTGCCTTCAGGAATGAACAAGAAAGTGGTTGTCATGTATTTCTTCAGTTTTAACAGATGCAATGCGAGTACATATTCTTCCTGTAAACAATGAACAAGATTCTATGTATTAAAAATGTAGCTTCTGGTTCACACAATACATTTTCAATTTAACAAGTCTGCAGAGAGGTGGCTCTTCATGTTGAAAAGAGTGAGGAGAGAAGCAGAGCTTCATTTTAAAAAGAGTGAGGAGAGAGCTGGTGCTCTACTTATAAAATGTGAGAGAGGAGGTGTTTTATTCGTAAAAGAACAAGGAGAGAGGTGAAGGTTCATATTGAAAAGAGAGAGGAGAGGTGGAGCTTCATATTGAAAAGAGAAGAGAGGTGGAGCTACATATTGAAAAGTGAGAGAGATGGAGCTTCATATTGAAAAGCAAGACAGATGGAGCTACGTATTGAAAAGTGAGAGAGATGGAGTTACATATTGAAAAGTGAGAGAGATGGAGCTTCATATTGAAAAGCGAGAGAGATGGAGCTTCATATTGAAAAGCGCAAGAGATGGAGCTACATATTGAAAAGTGAGAGAGATGGAGCTACATATTGAAAAGCGAGAGAGGTGGAGCTTCATATTGAAAAGTGAGGGAGGTGGTGCTTCATAATGAAAAGAGAGAGGAGAGGTGGAGCTTTATTTGAAAATGATGTGGAGGTGCCAGTGTTGGACTGGGTTTAACAAGGTCAAAAATCACACAACACCAGGTTATAGTCCAACAGGTTTATTTGAAAACACTAGCTTTCAGAGTGTTGCTCCTTCCTCAGGTGTAGTGAGAGAGGAGGTATCAAGACACAGAATTTATAAGCAAAAGATCCAAGGATCATACAATTGATGCAAATGTATTGAATAAACCAATGTAATCTATCTTATATGATGCAGGAAAGGAAGACCCGGGACATGGCAAAACCATGCAGATGCTATGACAACGAATGAATGGACTCCACACAACAATCACGAGACAGGGGTGTTCCCTCCCAATGGGGGAACACTTCAGCAGTCAAGGGAATTCGGCCTCAGATCTTGGGGTAAATGTCCTCCAAGGCAGACTTTGGGATTTACAACAATGCAGAGTCGCTGAGCAGAGGCTGATAGCCAAGTTCGGTACCAGTGAGAACGGCCTTAACTGTGATCTTGGGTTGATGTCGCACTACAGGTGACCCCACCACATTAGGAACAAAAACAGAAGTTGCTGGAAAAGCTCAGCAGGTCTGGCAGCATCTGTGAAGAAAAAGTCAGAGTTAACGTTTCGAGTCCGGTGACTCTTCCTCCTGGAAGGGTCCTTCTCAGGAACCCTTGTTCTTGATTTACAGCATCCGCAGTCCTTTTGGTTTTTATTTCGTATTTACCCCACCACATTATACACTCACAAACACTCACACAGACTGTCTCTCACACACACACTCACACAGACCCTGTCTGTCACACACATATACTCCCTCACACTCACACAATCTCTGTCAAACACACACAAACACTCTCTCTCTCACAACACACACTCTCTCACACATACACTCTCTCACACACTCTCGCACACTCACTCTCACTCTCTGTCACACACACACTTTCTCTCACACACTCTCCCTCTCTCACACACAGTCTATCTCTCACACACTCGCTCTCTCATACACACACACACTCTCTGTCTCTCACACACACACTCTCTGTCTCAATCTCTCTCTCTCGTGCACACTTTCTCTTACCACCTGCCGGCCTCCTCCCCTCCCTCAACCTCTTCATCTCCAAATGCCATCGCGACATCAATCGCCTTCATCTCACCACTCCCTCACCTACTCCAACCTCTCCCCATCAGAACACACAGCCCTCCGCTCCAACCCCAACATCACCATTAAACCCACTGATAAAGGGGGGGAGGGGCGCGGTGGTAGTACGGCACACTAACCTCTACATTACCTGGCAGGGTAATGAAACGTCTGCAGAACAACGAACCAGCTCGGTGAGCCAACCAACCACAACACCCACAATCCGAGCTACAAATCTACTCCAAAACCTTAGGAACCTCTACATCACTGAGGCCGGACGCCAACTCTCCAACACCTCCTCCTACCCTCCCGTCAATTATGACACCACTCTTGATCATCAAACCATTATCTCCCAGACCATCAATAACCTCATCACCTCAAGAGATCTTTCATCCATAGCCTCCAACCTGATAGTTCCCAACCCCGCACCGCCCGTTTCTATCTCCTACCCAAAATTCATAAACCTAACTGCCCCGGTTGACCCATTGTCTCTGCCTACTTCTGCCCCATTGAACTCATCTCCTCCTACCTCGACTCCGCTCTTTCCTCTCTCTCCAGGAACTCCCCACCTATGTTTGGGACACAACCCACGCCCTCCATCTTCTCCAAGACTTTAAATTTCCCAGCCCCCAACACTTCATCTTCACTACAGACATTCAGTCTCTCTACACCTATATCCCACATGAGGAGGGCCTAAAACCCTCCATTCCTCTCCCGCAGGCCCAAGCAGTCCCGCTACACCGTCATTCTCATCCGCTTGAAGAACGAGTCCTCACCCTCAACAATTTTTCCTTTGACTCCTCCCACTTCCTACAAATTAAGGGGGTGGCTTTGCTCACCCACATAGGTCCGATTTATGCCTGCTTGTTCATAGGATACGTGAAACAGTCCTCTTCCACAGCTACACTAGCACCATCCCTCACCTCTTCCTCCGATACGTTGGTGACTGTATCGCTGCTACCTCGTGCTCCCGTGAGGAGCTTGAACAGTTCATCCACTTCACCAACACCTTTCACCCCAACCTCAAATTCACCGAGACCATCTCTGACACCTCCCTCCCTTCCTGAACCTCTCTGTCTCCATCTCCGCCAATCGACTTAGCACCAACATCCATTTTAAACCCACTGACTCCCAGAGCTACCTGGACTACACCTCCTCTCACCTATTCTCTTGCAAAAATGCGATCCCATACTCCCAATTCCTCTGCCTCCACCGCATCTGCTCATGGGATGAAGCGTTCCACTCCTGGAAATCCCAGATGTCCTCCTACTTCAAGGACCATAATTTCCCCCCTCCCCTGATTCAGAATACCCTCAACCGCATCTCCTGCATTTTCCGCACTTCTCCATGAACAAGGATAGAGACCCCCGGTCCTCACATACCACCCCACCAATCTCCAAATCCAACACATCATCCTCTGCCATTTCCACCACCTGCAATCTGACCCCGCCACCAAAAAGGTATTTCCTTCCGTACCCCTATCAGCTTTCCATACAGATTGCTCACTCCACAACTCCCTCGTCAGCTCCACACTTCCCACCAGCCTTCCCACCACACGCAGCACCTTTCCCCACAACTGTAGGAAGTACTCCACCTTCCCCAACAGCTCCCCCCACCTCCATCTAAGGCCCCAAACAATCACTCCATATCCAGCAGAGAACAAAAAACAAAGAAAATTACCGCACAGAAACAGGCCCTTCAGCCCTCCAAGCCTGCGCCAATCCAGATCCTCTATCTAAACCTGTCGCCTATCTTACAAGGATCTGTATCCCTCTCCTCCCTGCCCATTCATGTATCTGTCTAGATACATCTTAAATGACACTATCGTGCCCGCCTCTACCACCTCCGCTGGCAACGCGTTCCAGGCACCCACCACCCTCCGTGTAAAGAACTTTCCACGCATATCTTCCTTAAACTTTTCCCCTCTCACCTTGAAATCGTGACCCCTAGTAATTGAGTCCCCCACTCTGGGAAAAAGCTTCTTGCTATCCACCCTGTCCATACCTCTCATGATTTTGTAGACCTCAATCAGGTCCCCCCTCAAGCTCCGTCTTTCTAATGTAAATAATCCTAATCTACTCAACTTCTCTTCATAGCTAGCACCCTCCATACCAGGCAACATCCTGGTGAACCTCCTCTGCACCCTCTCCAAAGCATCCACATCCTTTTGGTAATGTGGCGACCAGAACTGTACGCAGTATTCCAAATGTGGTCGAACCAAAGTCCTATACAACTGTAACATGACCTGCCAACTCTTGTACTCAATACCCCGTTCGATGAATGAAAGCATGCCGTATGCCTTCTTGACCACTCTATCGACCTGCATTGCCACCCTCAGGGTACAATGGACTTGAACACCCAGATCTCTCTGCATCAATTTTCCCCAGGGCTTTTCCATTTACCGTATAGTTCGCTCTTGAATTGGATCTTCCAAAATGCATCACCTTGCATTTGCCTGGATTGAACTCCATCTGCCATTTCTCCACCCAACTCTTCAATCTATCTATATTCTGCTGCATTCTCCGACAGTCCCCTTTCACTATGTATGTCATCTAACCTGGTCTATTGCATCCATTACTCCCAATGTGGTCTCCTCTATATCGGGAAGACCAAGCACAGACTCTGGGACCGATTCATGGAGCATCTGCACTTGGCACTGTGGGATCATGTTTCAAATAATGACCAAAATTGGTGAGTGGCATAAATAGCCTCTTTATTGAGCATTCACAGTAGCACAGTTCGAGGCAGCAATGGAATCCTGAAGTACAGTTCTTACAGTAGCCTCTTTATAAACAGTTCTTACATATATCAAAATTCTATCACTATGGTGTTACACAGTTTTATCTATTGTACACAGAATTTTGTGTAACATCTGTCCTGGGGAAGCAGGAGATTGTTGAAACATTTGCTAATTGCTGACTGCTACTTGGATAGAGTGTCTGTCCAGTCTGCTTGCATAATTGAAAGGTGTTAGTACTTTTATCTTTTAAGTTAGTAAGTGTTAGTAAAAATACTAGACCTTTATGATCTAAATAAGTTAGAAATTATACATCCACTAAATAAAAGTATAAAGGATATTAAACTGATTACCGCAGAGATTTTGTTTACTATTTGCCTGTGTGAGTTTCATTCATTCAAGCAATTTCACAGAAGTGTTGTTTCATAGTAACTTTCTTAAAGGGGACAGAGGCCCTATTCAATATGTATTTAACAGGTACACGCTAGTAGAGGAAACTTATTTGATGTTCTGCAACCTATTCAAGTCCCAAGAGACAGTTGCTAAGGGGCAGATGAATATTACAATCTTTCCCTAGTTTTGATGGGTCGTGGAGACACTATCGCGGTGAGGGTATTGTCTCTGAATAGGTTAGTAATCTGTGATATTTATTCAAAGGTAGCTTTTGATGTAATTAGGTCTGATAAGGGTTGAAGATGTGAAGAAGCAGTAAAGGGTTTGGAAAGAATGCAATAGTAAAATGCACTGCAAAAATTAAGATTTTATGAAAGAATGAATGAAAACACATTATAGTAAAGAGCTAGTTAGTAAAGGGTTATGAATGAATGAATGGGAATGCTGTATTAGTAAATGTAGCGAGCTAGTAAAGAGTTATGAGGGAATGAATAGGAATGTGGTCTTCATGAATATAGCCAGCTGGTGAGTGAGTTAGTAAAGAGACCTATAATACAATATCTCACAGTACACTACAATCGATAACACCTCCCGATTGTCAGCCATTTAAACTCCCCTTCCCTCTCTCTTGGTGACTTGTCCATCCTGGGCCTCCTCCACTGTCAAGATGAGGCCACACGTGAACTCGAGGAGCAACATCTGATGTTCTGCCTTGGGAGCTCACAGCCCAGTGGCCTCAACATAGAGCTTCAAAATCTCCCCAAGCCTAGCCTCATCCCATGTCCAGCCCTCTCTCTCATCCCTGCCTCCTTGACCTGATACAACCTGTCCATCTTCATTCTCACCTATCCACTGCACCCATCCCACTGACCAGTCTCTACAACCCCTTACCTGCATCCATCTATCACCATCCCACTTACCTTCCCCCAGCCTGACAACCCCTCCCTCTATTTATTTCTGAGCTCCCTTTCCCCTCCCCAGTCCTGATGAAGGGTCCAGACCCAAAATGTCAACTTTCCTGCTCCTCTGATGCTGCCTGACCTGCTGTGCTCCTTCAACTCCACGTGTAATCAACTTTGACTCCAGCATCTGCAGTCCTTCCTCTCTCCTATGGGGGATAAAGAGATGGCTTATGAATTGAACAGATAT